TCTCTACTTTTATTTGGAATTTTTAGACCCTTTGTCTTTAATGTAGTTTTAATATGGTTGGATTTAAATCTATCATCTTACTATTTATTTTCTGTTTGTCCCATTGATTTTTTTTTCTTTTTGTCCTCTTTTACTGCCTTTTGAATTATTTGAATTTTTAAAAAATTCATTTATTTCCACCATTGTCTATCTATATCCCTTTGCTTGATTTTATTTTAGGGGATTATTGATCTAGGCTTACAGTGTGCATTTTTAAGTTATCAGTCTACTTTAAATAATATTTATACCACTTTATGTATAATATAAGAACTCTTTCAACACTACATTTCTATTTTCCTACTCCCATCTTTCGTACTATTGTTCACTTATATTTTACTTCTACTTATGTTATCAACCCCATAATATACAGTCAATATTTTTGTTTTCAAAGAAACTTAAAAATGAGTTGAGGGCCGGCCGAGTGGCGCGATGGTTAAGAACTCTCTTGGGATGCCAGAGGGCCCCGGTTCGGATCCCACATATGAGGGCCAGTGACACTGCCCTCTACAGCTAAGATGCTGAACAACAGCTCAACCTGGAGCTGGGCTGCCATGAGTCGCCGGCGACGGCGTGGGCTGCAGTCCCTGTGGCAGTGGATTGCCATGGGCTACCGTGTGTGGCCAGCAGCCGCAGTGAGCGGCCGTCCAGAAGCCGGCGACTGATCTGCCTCGCCAGAGAAGAGTGCAATGATGGTGCCAACTTGGGCCAGTGAAGGACGTCCTCCACAACTAGATTGAAGAACAAAATGACAGCAACTTGTCTGTTCCCCTTTCCCCAATTCCCCAGCACTGTTCCCATCCCCCCAATTCCCCAATAAAAAAAAATCTTAAAAAAAAAATGAGTCGAAATACATGATCATTTTGATGCTCTTCACGCCTATGTGAAGATTTGTATCACAGATACCATACTTCTTTTCCCTGAAGAAGTTACTTTTATTTGTATATTTTAATATTTCTCAATATGTAGGTCTGCTGGTGATGATATTTTTGTATGTAATTCTATATTTCACCTTCATTTTTGAAAGATATTTATGCTGATAGAGAATTCTAGGTTGACAATTTTTAAAAGTTCAGGATCTTAAAGGTACTGACTGTTCCACTCCTTTTTCTTTTTTTTAATCTTGCATGGTTTACTTAGAAGTCTATGCTTATTCTTATTACTCTTATTCTTATGTCTCATATTCCTCTGTTCATAATGTGTTTTTGTTTTCTGATTTTGTCTTGATCAGTGATTTTCAGCAATTTGGTTCTGTTATGCCTTGATGTCAGCTTTTATTGTTGTTGTTAATTATGGTTAGGGTTAATTATGGTTAGCTGTTGTAGAATTTTACATTTTCAAGTGCTGTAATTTTTAATTTTTAATTTTAATTTTTGATGGGGAGGGAGTATTCCTTTTAAGTTTCATACTTTGTTCTGTCCTTCACATATGCTATGTGTTACCCATCTTGATCGTTTCAAGAGGGTTTTTCTTTTCTTTTCTTTTCTTTTTTTTTGAGCAAATATAGAGATTTGAGCACATCTCCACTACTATGACATTACCGTTTTGAGGGTATTTACTAAATACCCAGTGAATTCAATTAGGTCGCTTCCCTCTGGCTTTGAGAACTCAAATGATTCCCAGACTTGTATGAACTCTTGGGATTTTTCAGTTTTTGGTTCCCTCGTAATAGCTCTTCCCCTGAAAGTTCTTTCCCCAGACTTGTAGAGCTTTGCCAAACCCATGACTTGATTAGTGTTCAGCCATAGTCTCAAGGGGACTTCTTTCCAGAGCTCTTCCTCTGCGTAGCACCCTTCTAGTTTTCTGTCCTCCAAATTCTAGCCCCGTAGCTACCCCAAACTCTGATTGTTTTTTACATCTTAATACTTTAACACCTCTGCTGCTTTTTGGGTTTCTCCTCCCTGTGGCCCAGTCCAGAAAATGACCCTAGGCAGAAAGCTTCAGCAATCATAGGGCTCATTGCATGTTTCCTTTCTCCTCAGGATCACAGTCTGTTGTCCCATGTTTGAGATCATTTCCTATATTTTGTCCAGTGTTCTCTTTGGTTATGATGAAAAGATAAGTCCAGATCCTGTCACTCCCTCATGGCTGGTATAAAGTATGCCATTTTAATATGACATTTTATTTGTTTACTCCATTTAACAAGTATTTATGGAACACCTACTGTGGAAAGTCCAGAAATATAGAGATAAATAAATGAGTTACAGACTATAAGTTACAATATTGTGGTAGCTTTGAAATATGCCAAATTCTTTAGTATTCCTTCAAGAGGTGGATTTTAATTCTTCTCCCCTTGAGTCTAGAATCTGTGACTACTTGTCCAATAGACTATGGTTGAAACAATGTGCCGTTTCCCAGCTTAGGTCTTAAGAAAGTGCCAGTTTCCTCTTCCCATCTCTTGAAATGCTCAGTCTAAGACATTGGGAGGAACCAAGCAGACTTATAGGAGGGCCCATGTAATTGTCTGGCTGACAACCCCAAAGACCCAGCCAACTTCCAGCATCAATTGGCAGACACATAAGTGTGTAAGCTTTCAAAAGAGTGCAGCCCCGGGTGTGGTCATTCCAGCCGTTGAGCCACCCCTGCTGACACTGTGGAAGAGAGGCAAGCTGTGCCTGCCCAGCGCTGACCACATTTCTGATTCGTAAGCAAAAGAAATCATTATTGTTGCCCTAAGATACTAAGTTCAGGGTGGTTTTTATGTAGTAAAAAACACCTGCAACAAATATAATACCACTACGTGTTATGCTAGAGGTGACCAATAATCAATAACTAACAAATATTTATTATGTGCCTATTACCGGTCAGGTCCTGAGTCAGGCAAGGCTTTTGAAAAATGAAATCTGAGTGGAGGTTTAGAGAAGGTATGGAATCAGAGCAGGAAATGCAGAAAGAGTCCCTTGTTTGAAGACATGGCAAGTATGGAGGCATCAGAAAAGCTAAAGCAGAGGGTATGAAAGACTGGGAGGAGAGGAGGTACTCAGGGGCCAGTTCAGTAAGGATGTAATACTGAAGAATTAGGATTGAATCCTGAAGGCAGGAGACTAATTTGCACACTTGTAATAATCCAATTAATTTAATTATATATTTAATGACTGTGTTTCCCATAGGCTACACTCCAAAAAAGGTTATCTCACACAGAGCTTTTATACCTATGATGGAGAGAGGGAGAGGAGAGAGAGAAGGAGGTGGGGAGAGGGAAGGGGAAGTGAGAGGGAGGGGGAATGGGAGAGAGAGGGAGTTCCCTGCTGTTTCTTCTTATCAGAGCACTAATCCCATCATGAGGATCCCCCCCCAACCTCAGGATCTCATCTAAACCTAATTATCTAGTTATCTGCCAAAGGCACCATCTCCAAATACCATCACATTGGGGGGTAGGGCTTCAACATATGAATTTTTTTGGGGACACAAAATTCAGTCCATAACAGTATGAAACGAAAAAAACATAGTAGGGGACAAATGTCATTTGCATGTTGCTATCTTTTTATTAACTTGAAGGATTTTCAAAATAATAAAAAAAAGATATTTAACATTTTAAAATCAACCACAGAATTTAGTAAGCACATATTACAGAAACATTTTAATGTGAAATTGATATATAGGCTCTACAGTGTTTTAAAAACTACGGTAACACTAAAAGTGAAACTGCAGTTTCAGTGTTTTAAGGGATAGTAACAAAAAGCTAACCTCAAAATACAAGCCCATTTCACTTATTATATTTGGTTTTTATGTTAGACATAACAACAGTATTAAAAGTTTTACATTTTAAAAATGTTTATTATTTATTGCATGTTATCATAAAGGCCCCAAATCGCTAATATCATTCTTCTCGGTCAGAATACATAGATAATGCTATCAGGACTAATAGTTGTTATTCCTTCACTGTTCCCAAAGCACACATATTGATGATCAAGGCGCGAACAATTTGATCAATAGCTTATTGCTGACAATAGAATAATTCAGTCTCATTACTGAGCCACAAAGCACATCCAAATACAGTTTCATAAACATTTGGCTGCGATACAGGGTGATTATGATAATGTGCCCCAGAGGTTGCTCAGAAACCTGAGGTGGACAAGTTGTCACCTGATTTGGTCAGCTCCACAACTAAGAACTGGTTTTTGAGAGAGACTGTTCTGCTTCACATACTAATAGTGATGTTTTGAAAGAATCTTTTCACTTGTTATAATAAAACACAGGTTTTATTTTGGTACTGGCTCCTCAAAATGTTAAGAAACAGTGGTACAAATATGCCACATTTTTTACATTGTTTTGTTTTAACTCTTTTCTGCTTTTGAAAGAAATTTAGGCTCATCATTGAAATGTTTGGAAAACATAAAATACATAAAGAACAAAAAACCATCCGAAATCTTATCACTGAGAATTATGTCATAATCTTCTTGTGTATTTCCTTTCAGACTTTAAAAATCTGGGGGTATTTTGGAGTTCTACATGGTTTTGTTACCTGCTTTAAAAAGCTTATATAATATTTAAATGTCTATGTAAATATAGATCTGTATTATCACCTTTAATAGCTGTGGAGTTGTTGCATCATGTGTACTATAATGTACTTGACCAATACTAATTATAATGATGCTTACACTTATTTAGTGCTTACTATGTGCTGGGCACCTAAGGATTTTGAGCGTGTTAATCCATTTGATCCTCACAACCTTATTACTATTCCTGTTTTTTACAGATGAGGAAACTGAGGCACCAAAGGGTAATTTGTCCAATCTCTTAATGTTGGACATTTTAGTGGTTAACAATGTTTTGATATTATAAACAATGTTACCATAAATATCTTTGTTCATGTTCTTAAAGAATGTCTTTAGGATAAATTCCAAGAAGTAGAATTGCTGGGTCCAAAAGCTGTTCATATTTTTAAAAGCTTTTGTTACATACTTTCAAATATTTCCTTTAGGAAGACTATGTTAATTTACATTTTATTCAGCAATGTGAGTGTATGATTCCCAGCATCCCTGATTCTTTCTAATCTTTGTCTGAATGGCAAAAACGCACCTAAATGCTACTATAATTTGCATTTTTCACTTTTGGAACTGGGACTTCATTCTTATTGGATTTTTCTAAGCACTCTTTGTATACCATGATACTAATCCTGTTGTTGACATGTTGTAAATACTTGTGTACATGCTACGTCTGGAAGTGCTCCAATTTGGATATAATTTATACATAATTTCAATTCACGTGCAAGATGCTCTAAGTTTGTTCCAAGTGGGACGCAAAATCTAGCAGATGCTCCTTAAAATTTCTACATCACATAGGGAACATTTTTTTTTAATGTGCTAACTAAACGTATAAATACAATTACTAAAGAAACATGTTAAGTGGTTAGGAATCACTAATCAATTTCTAGGTCCATTTTTTCCCCCCAGTTTTTTGTTTTTTGCTCGGTTTAGGGGGACATTCTTGGGTTGTGAAGCTTGTTTTCCAATCAGCACAACTGCTTAGTAACTGCACACTTAGTCAGTGCTAACCAACGCCCAATTGGGAGTGCTCGTAACAGATTCTGGAGCCGGGCGCTCAGGGACTCGGGAAGGTGCCAGCGATGCCTCAGCCCTGAGCCGCGCGCCCTGACACTCCCCTCTTTTAGGGATTCGAGCCAATCCGTTCAGCTCACATGACTTCATCTAAGCAAGTTTCTTGTGACCGCCGACAGCAAATTAAACTCATGGCCTTTTTACTTAGATGCCCCCCCACTGAAGGCGTTCCCATCCCGCTCCACAGGGACCACAAAGTTACAACAACCCAACCAAAAAGAGGAGGAAAAAGAGGGTCCCGCTGAACCCAAACGCGATCCTCTTTCTTTCTCCTCAGGCTCTGCTGCACATCTGGGGTCGCTAGTCGGCTTCGGCGTGCCTGGAGGACCCCGTCCTCCGGAGACTGCTGGCCAAGGCAAAAGCAGAAAACGCAGGCTTTCCTGCCACTCTCCTGTATGACGAATCAAAAGAGGAGTCGGGCGGAGGGGGACTTTTGCTGGGTCCTGTTTTGGTGGGGCAGGTTCTGGGCAGGTTCTGGGCAGGCAGCGCCGAAGTCGCCTAGATTCCCGACTGGCGGCACGCGGGGGGCCTTCTCGGCTCCTTCGCTGTTGCCGCCGCCGCCGCCGCCGTCGCAGCCGCTGCCGCTGCTGCTGCCGCGGTTGCTGGGGGTCGGTGACACGAGGAGGTGTCGGGGACCCTGTGGAGTCCGTGTCTGTCGCTGTTTTTGCCTGAGGAGTCTTCCTGCCTTCGCCGCATCCTGATTCCCGTGGTGTCGAGGGGGAGTGCCTGCGGACACCTCGGCACGCAGTGGAGATGCCTCTCTTTGCCACCAATCCCTTCGATCAGGATGTTGGTAAGTGCTTTTGCCGCCCTCTGTCCACCCGCCTCCGGACGGCAAGCCCACCCTGCCTGCCCGGTGGGTACGTCCTGGACCCCCGCACCCCCCCCTCTCCTCCGGGGTCAGGGCCGAGCTCTTCCCCCTTTTCTGAGGCTCTTTTTCCTTACGAGTTTGGAGGAGGTCGCGGGGGGCTTGGCGCATCCTCTTTGAAAGAAATGGGACTCAGCCTGCGAAATGGGCCTGGAGCCGGGGCTCTGGGTTTGGGAAGAACCGCAGAAAGGGCTGCCGTAGGAAAGCCCCGGAGGAGCAGCTGGCGCAGCATCTGGTGCTGGGACGGCGCTCCTGCAAGAGCGGAGCTGAGGGCTGAGGAGTGTCGCGGCGGGGGCAGGATTCTAAGCCCTATAATAAAGCGTTTCCGGGGACAGATGCCCAGGACTGATGGGAAGCGTCTGTGACTAGGAGAATGTTTAGGTGAGGTACCTGAAAAGATTTTAAAACCTTTAAAAAAATTTTTTTTTATAACAAATGACAGGCGAGAGCTTCCGTTTAAGGGTAGACTCGCAACAATGTGGGAAGATATGAAAGAGGAATACTTGGCGACAGCTGAAACCGAAGTGAGGACTTAGTTGAGCCACCGGGCTGCCTTATTTAGAGCAGCTTAGCTAGCTCTCTTAAGAAGTGGACGAGGACCTTGAATCTGAATTTGTTTTGAACTTGAAATGCTATTTTTTTTTGGGGGCTTTCTGAATCATTGGTATTGGGTACTGATGATACCAGTTCAGCAGGTTCGCTTTTGTTTATCTTTTTCTGGCTTAAGGGTAAATACTTACAGGAGCTTGAGTTTCTGGGAAAGAGAATTTTGGGGTGATTTGAATTCAGTTAGGAACTCCCGTAGCACACAGGTGTGGAATGAAAAAGCAAGCCAAATCCCTCAAGGAAGAATTTACTTATTCCTCTAGCAAAGACATATAAGGACAGCCTTAAATGGAGTTGTTTTGTATACGCATATTTGAACAGTGAAAGGTGGGTGTCCAATTTTTCTTTTTTTAACTCTTCCTTACAGCATATAACCGAAGCTTGGAGATTTAGGTTAAGGCTAGAAAAGCGTTCCATCCTGTGTCTGGCGCTTCCTAGCCGAGGAAAAGCCTGGGCAAGTTACTTAAGCTCTTTGAGTCCCAGTATCCTCATCTTTAAAGAGTGAAAAACACATTCTTTGTGTGATTAAATGAAATCATATGTGTAGAGGACCTACTACAGTGCCTTTATATGGTAGGCACCTACTAAATGATAGGTTTTTTTTTTTTGTTCGAGTTTAAATGAATGTCCTGAATACAACAGTAGATGGAACTTTAGAGGTCATCAATAATACTTGTAATTAACAGGAAAATTGCATTGAATTTAATAAGCACTTAGCACACACTATTTACAGGACACTGCTTGGTGACATAAGAGAGTTGTGAATAAGAATAAGACATGGTTGCTGCTCTCAAGCAGTTTTACAACTTATATCATTAATTTTTAGGGCAAATGTTTAAAACAATTTCTTAATACCTGCTTCGTCTGTTTTCATGGGCACATATAATCTAGCTTTCAACTACCCAATCACTGACTTTCTGAACGCACATTTCCATTGTATTCAGATAAATCTCTTAATGTCAGAACCTTTCTCAGTACAACACCCAGCTCAAAGCAGGCTCCATCTTGCCTTTTACATCTGCTTCTATTATTTCTTCCACCTTTCTACATGACCTCATGATTAAAGGCCAACTCAGAATCCAACTCATTATACCTGAATCATTTCCTGATTACTCAAGCCTAGGGTTTTTCAGTAGCAACACTATTGGTGGTTTGGACTAGATCAATGGCTTTGTTGTGTGTGGGGCTTCTATCCTGAGCAATGTAAGGTGTTTAGTAGCATCCCTGACATCTACCCACTAGATGCCAGTGATACCTACCCCCCCAACCTCCATCATGATTTGAAAGATTTTCAGACATTGCACAAAGTGGCTCCCAGTTGAGAACCATTGCTTTAGCTCACTATAATCTCCACTCTTTTCAAAACTCCTGACACCTTTTGTCTTTACCAAATTATTTAGCATTAAAGATTGTTATATCCTGTGTTATGCGCCTTAATTGTTTTATTGGCTGCTCTATAGTAGGTGCTTAATAAATATTTGTTGAATTGAGAATTTGTCAATTGAGCCTGCTAGATAGTAAGTTTCTTGAGTGTGGGTACATTGTTTTGCTTCAGAAAAGCTTACTTTTTAAAGTTAGTCAGGTTTTTGGTATTTGGATCAATTCTGACTTCATGATCCATGTATCAAAATAGCATGAATGGTTATCAGAGAAGACCCGTCAGAGACTCCCAGTAAATAATCCTTGGACAGAGTCCAGTAGACGCCCACGTTAAATTTTTACTAGTGTAGCACTAGTAGAATATAGTATGTAGAATACATTTTAACAATATTCCTTCTCACTTTGTTCATCAATGAGTATGTCAGTGATATTAAAGTACGCCCACGAACTGTTACTTGATATAATTATTTATCACTTAACATTAGTATACATTTGTACTTCTTCAAAATTATCTTCAGCTTTATTCATAAACTGAAACAGTGAATCAAATTCATGAACTGATTTATGTAATATAACATTTCACATAACGAAGCAAAATACTGGCAATAGCTTTTCCCTTGAAGAAATGCCTGAACATGTTATTAGAATGTGAGCCCCATTGAGGACAGGGATTTTTGTTTGGTTTGTTCATTACGATATCCCCAGCATGTAGACCAGTGTCTGGCAGTAATAAACATTTAGTAAGTATTGATTGAATAAATGAATCACTTTGCATGTTATATTTCTTGCTAAGTTCAACTCTTGAATTATAAAGATCACTCATTCCATCAAGCTTTTATTTCAAACTCCTAGTGACTTTCACCTTGCCAAATCCAGCCAATTCCTAGTCCATTTCTTTGTTGACCTCTTAGCATTCCGCTTTGATATTCTTTTTTTCACTTGGTTTTCAGTTCACCAAACTTTTTCTGATTTTTCTGCTTAGCTCTTTTTTGGCTTCTCCTGTTTGTGTCTTCCAGATGTTGATCTGAGTCTGGGATTCAGATCTAGAACGTCTTCGAAATTTTTTTTCCCCTTGGAGTCTTAGGAGGCAATTTAGTTTAGTGTTAAGAATTCACACTCTGGAGCTACGCTGCCTGAATTCATTTCGCAGGTTTGCTGCTTACTGCAATGCGACTTTGGTCTAGTTCCTTAGATACTCTTTGTCTGTTTCCTTATCTTTAGTATGGAATATGGAGATAATAATAGCTCTTAGCTTCTTTCCCCAAACCTGCACATTTCTTTATCATTACCTATTGCAGTAGTTGGCACCATTGATATTTCCTGTCACTCATCTCTAATGTCTAAGATTCATCATTGATTCTTCTTCACATTCCACATCCATTCTATCAGCAAGATCTTTAGGCTCTACTTAAAAAATATACCCAGAATCACATCACTTCTCCTTTTCTTACCTTACCTTACCTTTCGTTACATTACGTTACTGTAGAATATGTATGGCAAGTGCCTTCTAATAGGCTTCTTTGCTACCACTCTTGCCCTCTATAATCAATCAGTTCTCATCTACAAAGGTCGGTGATCTTTGAAAAATGTCAGATAATGTTACTTACCTGCTCAGCATCGTTTCAGTAGCTTCCCATCCCCCATACAGAGAAATGCAGATTCCTTTTTGTGGCACATAGTCTGACTCCTTCCTGTGTATCTGATGTGACTATGATCTCTAAACACTCGCTCTCATTCTAAACCTCTTGGGTCTGAACACTCCAGCTCATTCCTGCCTCTGTATCTGTTGGGTTGTTGGAAAAGTCATGATGCATTTTTGCAACGAAAAACAGAAAAAAAAGTTATGATTTTTCCGACAACCTAATATATTGTCCTGTTTTCTTTGCCTGGGATGTTCTTTCAGGGATTTGAAGGCCGTGATGAAGACTGTTTAAATAGTTTCTAAGAGAGGCTTTCCCTAATTCCCTTCTGTAAAAAAAAAAAGAAAAAATCCGTCTTTACCTTCTCACTGTTTCCTTGTTCCTTTTTTCTTTGTAGTAGTCAACTACCTGACATTAATTGATTGATTAATTGACTCTTGTGTGGAATATAAACTCCACAAGGGTGAGAACTTCTCATTTCTATCCCTAGCACCTTAGGGACTGTGCCATAGTAAGCACTCAATCAGTGTTTATCAAATAGTGAGTCATTGTCATTTTTCTAGATCTCTAGACCTGTATTTCTAGTTGGTGTTCTGTTATCACCTAAAAAAATCAATCTATCAAAAAACTGAACTTATGTTTCTCAGTCTGGTCCTTCATTATTTGGCAATTTTATGAAGTTCTAGTTATCTTGACTTGAAACCCAAGAGGCATTTTTGAATCATTCCCCTGCCTCTGCTAAACCATCAAATCTTTGTTTTTATAATAGTACATTTGCATTCCTAGTTGGACCAATTTGGATCCTACAGACTTGGACATGTTTTTCGTCTGTTTTGCTTAGTCCAGTCAGCATCATAAACCACAGCCAGATTAATCTTCATAAATGATAATGTTCTGTTATTCTCCGGCAATATGGTGTGATGGAAAGACCCTGGGCTTTAGGTTTAAATTGCAGCTGCAGCATTTACTCTTACTAAGTGGGTAGAATATGGACTTGGGCAAGTACAGAAGCCCTGTGAGTTCACTTTCCACCTTTGTTAACAGGGATAAAAATATTTACCTCATGGAGTTGCTATGAGGAATACTTAGAAAAACACATGACATTCTAGTTCTGTACTGGAGTTAAATATGCTTAAAATATTTTAAATTCAGCATGTTCACAATCATATTCAAACTTCTCTAGTGGGCTTTTCCTCCGTTCTCATGACTAGTTCCTCAGTTTACTTAGTCATGTGTCAAGAACCTAGGGGTTGTGCTTGACTTCTGTACTTGTAATTCTCTACATTCTTAATGGCAAAC